TGGGGTGGGAGGCAGCAGCAGCAACAGTAGTGGTGGTGGAGGTGGCGGTGGTGGTGTCAGTGCTGTGGGTGTTGGGGTTGGTGTTCACAACTTAACCCGCCGCAGCACGGTCAGTCTTCTAGATACCTACCAGAGATGTGGGCTTAAACGCAAGAGTGAGGAGCTTGACAACAACAGTAGTGTTCAGATCATTGAGGAGCACGGCCCACCGATGATTCAGAACGGAGCAGCCAGCGGAGCCACGGTAGCAACCGTGGCCACTGCCACCTCCACGGCAACATCTAAGAACAGTGGTTCCAACAATGAGGGGGACTACCAGCTGGTGCAGCATGAGGTGCTTTGCTCCATGACCAACACTTACGAAGTGCTGGAATTCTTGGGGCGAGGAACCTTTGGACAGGTGGTTAAGTGCTGGAAGAGGGGCACCAACGAGATCGTGGCAATCAAGATCTTAAAGAACCATCCATCCTATGCACGGCAGGGTCAGATCGAGGTCAGCATCTTGGCGCGTCTTAGCACGGAGAGTGCAGATGACTACAACTTTGTGAGGGCCTATGAGTGCTTCCAGCACAAGAACCACACGTGCCTGGTATTTGAGATGCTGGAGCAGAACCTGTACGACTTCCTCAAGCAAAACAAGTTCAGCCCTTTGCCACTCAAATACATCAGACCCGTGTTACAGCAGGTGGCCACAGCTCTAATGAAACTGAAGAGCCTGGGGCTGATTCACGCTGACTTGAAGCCAGAGAACATCATGCTCGTGGACCCATCCCGACAGCCCTACAGGGTCAAAGTCATTGACTTTGGCTCTGCCAGCCATGTGTCCAAAGCAGTCTGCTCCACTTACTTACAGTCCAGATACTACAGGTAAGAGCTGCAACTTTGAAATAGTAATTAACTTGTCAAATGGATATGAAAAACTTAATTTGGGCGTTTTGCTGTTTGTAAACTAGCAGATTGCAAAGAGGAAATTGCACAAAGAAAAAGAGACGTGTCCCTTTGATTGTTCCTGATTATTCTGTTTGGATGATCTTTGTGCTCTCCGCATCTTGTTGGACTCATTTCTGCTTTAATAGGAATGTTTTCATAGTTGAGCTGATTATTTGGCCAAACACCCAGATTTGCTGCCAACTGTATGAGCTGCTGCTGAGGTCTTCTCTCTTCACTCCAATTCTGCCTTTCCTGTTAGCTTGTTTATGCCCCTAGTTAAGAATGTGGGGCCAGAAAAACTCAAAGGCTTGCTGACTAGCCAGCAGCTTAGTGTATTGATAAAACAAGAACATTTTAGTGTTACTTTGATGATTGTAGAAAGCCTGTTTAGTTGCTTCACAACCTGCTCAAGCTCTGGTAAACCAGCCAGACCACAGGGAATATTTGAAGGAAAGACATTTTTTAGTATCAGTGAGAGGTTCAGGGTTCAGTTGACAGTGTTGTTTTCTGCTTTCAATGGAGGGGGTTTGAAAAGATCTCAGAGAAATTCACTCATTGAAGAAGGGCACCAATCATGTGGGGTGGCAGTCTGCCCACAAGCATTCACCCTGCTGCTCCCCAGGCCTCAGGCCCCCAGACCCTCAGCCCCTATCATGGCTGGCTCCCATTTCCCCCAGGATAGAGATGAGGGGTCAACCTGAGTTCTCCTGTAATATGTGCCTGTAATCCACACCAGCGGGCCCTGCATTAGAACCAGATGACTCCCCGGGAAGGCCTTTCTTTCTTCTGCGAGTACTTCTTAAACAGTCTTTTTTGCCCATAGCAAACAGTGTGTTTAGGTTTCAGCAGAGGCAGCACTGGCGCGGTGGGGGGAGCTGTGCAAGCAATCAAATGGTGTCCATGTCTGTACAGAGAGAAGCTTTGTCCGGCGCTCAGGCCCGATGCCGGGGCTGGGGCTGAGGGAAGAACAGGTGTGCATGAGCCGTGGTAGCCCACACGTAAACACACACCCACACAAACACATGCCAGGTGGTGACTCTGCAACTGCACATAATGCAGATTCTGTCATGATTGCCCATTTAGTGGATTGTGTTGATAGGTTGGTTGTTACTATCTATACAGTTTATATTTATATGCTTCACTAAAGACCACTGATGCCTTGTAAATCCGGATACAAGTCTTAGAGTAGAGTGAACAGTAGTGAGATTAGAATGAACCACATTAAAACATTTTATCACATCTGATAGGTGTATTAATTTATTTGAACTTTAGTGTTTATTGAACTCTATTTTATAAATATCTTCACCATCTGGCTCCAAAACCTCTATAAGGATTCCTGTATGGGAACTGAATTGTACATATCAACAGGGCAGCACTGTTATATCAGTTTAAGTAGCTCATCCTGAAGTAAACACCACTAGTAGTCTGTTGTTGCTGCTCATGGGCTGTAGGTCAACAAGCAGGCCATAAAATGTTCCTGTTTGTTTTCTCGGGGAGTGACGAGCAGAGGAGAGATCATCCTTTCATTTCCTCTTGGCAGCAGAGGAAGGGAAAGAAAGGCTGACATTGACCAGAAAATTACCCGCCAGCCACCAAAACCTAGACCAGGCACTTGGTGACCCTGGTTTGAGGCACTTGGGAGTGGTGTGTGTCTGTGTGTGTTTTCTTTACTGCATAATGTCATGCACATAGAGTGTGTCAACAAGAGTGTGTGCCCTTCACCAGGATTTGTTGTGAGCAATGAGGCAAGTCCTACGATTCCATTCAAAGAATATAATATATTATGGGTGTCTTAACAGCACATGCAGTTCAGGCAGCAAACAAACTTTGGCTGTGGGTAAAGTTCATGGTGAGTTCAAACGCATAGAAGAGAACATCAAACCATCTTTGATGATTTCAGATGAGAAGATAGCAGGTTAGTTTCTGTAGCAGATGGTACAGTGTAGAGATTGCATACAGGTGTGATTTGCCAGCTTCAAATGGCTGGCTATGTGTTACTCTATATCCTCCACAACAACAAAATCATCTCCTTCCTGTCTTCTTTGATTCTTGTTAAATAAAATATTTGTGTCTTAATCAAGTGCAGTTAGGGTTTTCTCAACAACCTTTCTTGTTGACTGATGAGGTGACATGACATGAAACTGACACAACAATAAAGACCAGTTGTGAGGCATTTTTTTCTTATGCATGAGGCTGAAAAAAGAGTGATTTCAAGCCCATTGCAAAAATTGTACATTGTACGAAGCCATTATCACTTGTTTTTGTGTACATAGCGGGAAGCTCATACCCTCACTCACGTCTATTTGCATTTTGGGTGTCATAGATATGCTGTTGGCATCATATGTACTGTAAAAGCTTTGCAAATGAGTTATGGATTTTCCACAAGGTTGACTCATGTAAATAAAACACCAGTATTCAAGGTAAACAAGTGATGTGCTATTTACAAGAACAGCTCCCAGGGTGCTTTGAGTTTCAACTTTGCTCGCTTCAGTGCGTAGTGACTACAAGCTCATGTGACTAAACTCATCTGTCCTTGTCAAATAGGCCTGTCTGTAGCACGTCTATACTTGGTGCCACTGTGCTTGAATGCAGCCTGTCTTCCTGCTATTCTTTACAGCATTCTGCTATAGTGTCTTTGTGTCCTTTTCTTAATTATTCTGTGGTGTTCACATCCTTGTTACTTGTGACCTAACCCTGGTCCTACTTTTTTTTTATCCTTTCTTTTCCTTAACTGCTCCTCCTCTTCCCTCTTGCCTGTAGCTAATGATGTAACAGGTAAGCCAGCTAGTCAAGCTTACTCTGTGCCAGATAAAGGGATTATGTCTTGTCCCAGTTGGGTACTTTTGTCCTATTTATCTTATCGTGTAAATGCCATGAGATGGGTGGAATGCAGCAAGACATTATTTAAGTTCTTGTAAATGTTGTAAGTTATGTAAAGATGCAGTGCAGCTGGCAGGAATTGGCCTTTATGTTTGGCTATTGGTAGTGAAAGGGAGGAGGTGCAACATGCAGACGGTGGCAGAGATGTTAGGATAACACGTCCTCCCACCCTGCACAACTGTCTGCCCGACTGCCCAAAGGCTTTGTCATTTAGGAAGGTTTTGATGTCCACACGTCTTTCCAACAACAGAATTTGAGGGAACGATTTCTACATAAGTTCTGTAACTTTCTCTCAACCGACAATTTGACAAGCGATGTTCAAGCGATGACTGCTCTCTGTTAACCTCACTATATTATTCATTCTTTCTCTATGTAAAAATTAGTATAATACCAGGAAATGCCTTCCAGGAGAGACTATCTGAAAGCATGTGCCATAACCCCCCATATTTATATAGTTAATTATTGTTTCACTCCTTTCTTTCTTTTCACTCCATCTTTGAGTTTGACTCTTTGGAACAGCTATGAAAACTTAATGACTTCTAATATTTACATAGTTTTTTTTGTTTGTTTTTTGAGTATAATTCACCCGTTCTGTACGCAAACAGAAAGGCTTTTACACTGGTTTGCTCAAGTGCCACAAGGCAGAGGGACAGAGAGAGAGACAGAGCAATTTCCTCTTGTAATTAACCATTTTAATATTAATAAGCCTGAAGCTTTACTGCACACATGTCTGCACCTGCCCACTTGTATCTGTTACTTAACACACACACATTACAGGCTTCATATTTAAACTTGGAGGAGCAACGTACAGATATATAATACATCAGTGACCTACTAGGGCTTGCAGGTAGCAATTACACATTTTAAGTGAAAGGAAAATGAGCCAACAGTGTCTGAGAGGGAGGAATGGACTTGTTGATGTCACCAGTAATCAGAAGTGGCCAGTGTCTGTGTGCTTTCGGTGCTATCAGTGTGGAGCCAAAGGCCTCTGGCAGAAGAGATCTTAATGCATCCATATGGAAACATCACAAAAAGCTCATATTATGGAACGCTCTGCATTTTCTCATTCTACTTTTAGAGCCCATATCTGTGTTCATGTTGGCAGTGAAGATGGGTGCAGCTGATGCTACAGAAGGCTCTCTGACACCCCCAGGCTTATGTCGTAGCCTTAATAACTGATGAAATATGTATCTATCTTCATCAGGGGTGGTGCAGTAACTGCTTGGGCTGAGGCTGCCGAGTGTAAAACGAGCCTCTGCCCCACCTGTCTATCTGTCTCTCTATCTGTTGTTAGCATCGCACAACCAGACAGACAGGGCAAGCGTTCCAGCACATTTAGCCTGCCTCCGTGCGAAACATCAAGAGGTGTTTTAATGAATGAGGTTGCTATTAGTTACTGTTCTGTGAAGCGTGTGCTAATGTGTGTGTTCCAGAGAAGGACTGAAAGGTAGGTGTACTCCAGGATCAGGTTGCTACAGAGGAAAGATGGATTAGAAAAGGATGGAAAGACAGATTTGCTCAGTTGCAGTGGTGCTGGTAATAGTACAGGTGTTGTTTATGGGAAGACGTTCAAGTACGTTTTGTAACCGAAAGGCATATTTGGGGGGGTGTAGACTGTTGTTGTTTTGCATCATTCCCCATCAGTATCTGGATCAGCTCTCTCTTTCCACCAAGCAGTAGAAGGCTATTACTAATGCAGCTGAGCTTTCATTAGGTTCAGCCTGCCTGGGTAGCTGCTGTTGCATGTTGTTACTTTTTTTGCCGACTTTTTTTTGTTAGTTTGTCTTTATTTAGCTTTATATTTCCAGCATGTGGCCACAGAGGGCTACAGCAGTCTGAATGCTGTTGACTGTAGATGCTGAAGTCAATGGCTATTATCAGGAACTGGTATATTAAAGAAAGACCCCCTGTAAAATGATAATTACTGCTCCCTGTATTCACTACTGTGCTTTTTATGACAGTCATAACACCTTAGTATTCATGACAGAATCCTAATAACCTGTTTCTCATTTATAATTTGCCTCTGGGCAGCTCTTCCATGTGTCTCCACAGAGCAG